CCCACCCTCCCAGCCATCCCAGCCCAGCTATAATTCGAACAAGTAGTCCGCTGCCCGCATGATCGGTCCGGGGCCTCAAAGCGTTCCGCCCGATGAGAATTCCCTTTGATCAGTGCGGGACGCGCGGGCCGGGCCGGGCCCGGTCAGGTGTGGTGGTGTGGGGGTAGGGAAGGGGGGGACTCTGATTCATTTTGCACTCATTCAGGCCTCCTGCCTGGTGCCGTGTGGGGGGCCGGCCTATATGTAGGACGTATATGGCGCTCGACTCGGTGTATGGAGAAATTAAAAACAATAAAGGAAAACGACATGTGTGTGCGCGCCTTGCTTGTGCTGCTGCTGCTGCTAGAGGACCTGCGGGGGCGTGTGTGCGCTCAGGTGGGGACCTTTGTAGGGCCCGTCCCGCCCGCCCTTCCTGCCCGGCCGCCCCCGATAAGGCTCGTGTGGGGGATGAGATATAGAGTTATTGGCTGAGGCTGCCGGGGACCACGCCGGGGCGAGCCGGGGGCGGGCCGGGGGCGCTGGAGGGACCTTCCCCGCCGTATAATACGCGCGTTGAAAGTCAAATTATTTCTTGGCGGTAACTTACCTCCGTCCCCGGGTCCGGGACCGCCGGGATGGGCTCGGGCGGGATGCCTGCCTGTGTGTGCTTCACTACACCAGTGAACCGTGGCGCCCCCTGCTCCAGCGGCGGCGGTGGGGGCGGCGGTGGTGGCTGGGGCGGGGGCGGCGCGGGCGCCCCGGGCTGGAGGCGGCGGGCGCTGGGCTTCCCGCGCTGGAGGGAGCAATCAGACGCTCGTAGTAACCCGGTGGGTGCGGGCGGACCGTCCGCCGCCGCCTCCGCCGCCACCCTCGTGCCGCCCGTGACCGCCGCGTGTCCGGTGTCGTGTCGCTCGGCGTCGTGCCCGCGAGGCGGGCTCCACGTCGTCGGCGTGAGCCCCCCGCGTGTCTGCCTTGGAGTCGTCGTGTCACCCGATCTCGCCCGCCCGGTGGCTCACCACGTGTCGCTCCGTGTCGGCCCCGCCGCGTGACGTGCTCGCGTGTATGTCCCGGAGTCGCCGTGTCTCTCCCGCCCGGTGCCGTGCGCCCCCGGCTCACGTGTCGCTCCGTGTCCGGTCCCGCCGCGTGACGTGCGCGCGTGATGGCCCGCCGAGCACACCGGCGACCCGTCGGTAATTGCGATTCTCTCTCTGGTCCGGGCCGCCCACCGTTCGCCACCTACCGGCGCACCGGCGTGTCCTGTCGCCGGACCCAATTCGGCAGCTTGACAATTTCGTGTGGTGGTGGCGCCGGGGCCGGCCCCGCCGGCAGCCCTGTCGCCCAGTGAGTGGCGGGCCCAAGCCCCTGGCGGCCGTGACGGCCCCGCCGGCCCCGCCAGCCCCGGCCACCACCATGTCGCCCCCTCGAAGATTGAACCTGGGTCGGTCGGCCGACG